CCCCGGTGAGGTGCCCCCGCCTGCCTCAGGCCCCGCAGACCCTCGGCTGGGCTTCCTCCGACCCCCTCCCTTGGCTGGGATGAAGCCCAGAGCTGCCCCCGCTGGCTGTCCAGTGCCAGACGGGCTGTAATCCAAATTCACAACTTTTAACCCCCCAAAACGCAGTTCTTGGGGCAGCCCGGCGTGGTTTCACGTTCAGGCTGGTCGTGTATGGGTGCTACAAGCCAGCTTGCCCCACAGGATGAACCCGGCCGGGGACTGGCATTACCCCACTGGGCCAGGCCTACCCGCGGTGCCTCTTGGGGACCCTGACTTAAGCAGTGCCACATTTTTCACATTGTGTTCACGAGGGACCTTAAATTAATTGGGGAGGGGGAGATGAAGTATATCTGGCTTTAACAAACATGCCAGACTTCAGTTTTCAGTCTGGTGTGACTTCGTACTCTAGACGTGGGGAAAATTTGGGGCTGTTTGGGGTTAGGTGGGTAACTAGGGCATCAGCTGGGCTCAGAGCAGTTGATGCCAAAGCTGTGAGCTGCCAGCTGTAAATAAACACGTAGTAAAATAAGCTGAAGTTTGCACAATACACACAATTCTGGCAAAAAGCTGAACCAGGTTTGGAAAATCATCCCTCTCCAGTTTTGAGCCTCAGGTGGCTGAGCAGTAGAGCTGTGTGTGCCTTCTGACGTGAGGATTTTCGAACAACCCTGAGTTATTCGACATTTTCGAGACACAGTGAAGACAAAGGACTGTTTCCTGCACTCAGAAAAGAGCTTTATTTACCAAAGCAGCCAGGCTGCAGGCAGCACGGCTGGGTTGATCCTGGGTAGGGCGAGCACAGAGCTGCCTGTGTGCCGTGGAGCCGGGCTCTGGTACTTCATGATTAATTGGGGTGGACATCCCCTACGTGACCTGCAGAGAGCACAAAGCAAAGCTGTGGCAGCCAGACCCGGCTTGGCCAGCTCCCACAGGGGCTGGAACAGGCATGGGGAGCGGGGCAGGGCCAGCGGCAGCCTACATGCAGATTACCAGAGCGGGAGAAATATCCCCTTTATATATGCCTTTACATATATATGTCTTTACAGAAGCAACTCCAAACCCCGGGTCCAACTGGATTTGGGTTGTCAGGGTATTTAAAAGCCCACCCCATGTGCATCCCTGAACAGGAGGTCACAGGTTTGGGACTCAGATAATTTTAGTACTCTTTCCAGCTCTTTGACTGGCTTTTGCATAACTGTAGACAGTTTAATTCACTTCTCCGCACCCTGCCATGAAACAGGGACGTTGTGACTCAAGTGGGACCGTCCTTCTTTAGAAGGACTCTGCTCTGGGATAGCAAACCCAGCCTGGAGTGTGTCATCTCCACACCAGGTCCAAATTCTTCTCCCTGAATCCCAGCCACCCTCAGTTCAGGTTTTTTTTCCTGCACTGTGGGAATGCTATAAGGATCTCTTCAAGAGCAAGTGTGTAGGCATGTTAAGACAGAGGGTAAAAGAACACATATCCATCCCAAAAGTAAGTGTAGGCGTTCAGAGAACTCCCCAGTGAATTGGGCTGAGCTCTGTCCCCAACACAGGACCCCTGAGCCAAATCATCCCACTCTGCTCGTGGGCTGTGCTTGCAGGAAACATGAGCAAGTTTGGGGAAAAACAAGCAGGCTGGGTGTTGGAGGGAAAAAAAACAAGCTGGGTGTTCAGAGGATGTTTGCAGCTGATCTTCTGTTTGCCCTGCAGGTCTTTGCTGCATCTGGCTTGTGATGGAGCAGGGCAGGCTCTCACCCTTACCTCTGCTAGGGAAAGCAGAGCAACGCTGTGTCTGCTGGTGCCCGTGTCTGCCCAGCTTTCACCTGGCAGAGCTCATTTTCACATGCTGCCACTGCGCAGCATCTCTGCCTGGGAAATCCCGGTGCCAAGCTCCTACTTGGGGCCAGGCATCGTTTCCATTCCCAAAAAAGGCTGGCATCACCCCGTGTGTCACCTGACCTGCTGCCTAGCTGGGCACAGTCGCCAGCGTCATCGCCAAGAGCCCCTGTAAACTTCATGTCCCCAATATTTAACAACTTCCATGCAAGAAAACCTGCTGAAAGTGGGGTCTCAGCCTTGTGTCAACCAGGGGACTGGGACTCCTGCAGGGGGGTGTTTGGCTCCTGCTTTCCAAGGAAAGTCTCCCGAGAGCCGAGCTGACCCGTTGTTGTATTTGGGGACCACCTCCTGCACGCAAACACTTGTGGCGGGGATGCAGGTGATGGCTGATGAGATGAGGCTTCTGGTCCCTGTTACTGCTCATTGCAGCTCCTGACCAGTTGCTGCATCATGGCCTTTCTCAATCTCAGCCACCAGCAGCAACATCCCCAATCCTCTCCAGAGCATCCCAGGAGAGGATTTTTCCCCATTGTAAACCTCCGAATTGCTTCTTCCTCCATCTCAGTAGCCTGGGTCGGGTCCCACAGACTTACCCCTGCCCCTTGAGCTGAGGAGACGAACGCCCTTCATCCATCCACACCTGTGCACATGCTCCCCCACACTCCCTTGCATCCCAAGGTCACCTCCAAAATTGACTTCCAGGTAGCGTAGATTTTTAACTCCCATCCTGTTTTGCAAGTAATTCATGTGCACATCCCCAGTGACTCCACTGAGTACGAATTACAGCATCAGCTCCTAACTCAGGAGGAATTTATCCTCCACGTTCCCAAAAGAAACAGCTCCTTGGCTGGAGTAGCTCCCATTCCTCCCCCTTCCCTCCTACCCCCAACAGGACCAGGACCCCCACTCCAGCTCCGATCCTCTCCCCCATTCCCGGTTCTTCGCGCCCCATCCCCACTGTGCCGCCCTGCTCCCCAAGACATGATTCACTGCCCGACACCTCCGGGTGCTGTGGGCATACCTGCGGTGTCAAGCTCCCCTCTGATTTAAGGCAAGGGTAATTACA